AAATTGATCCAATATCTGGGACTTTTTCCCTAATTATGCTTGACTCACTAGCTATTTATTAAATTGTTATTTGTCACTAAATTGTTTCTTGGGGATTTTTTTCCTATAATACTTTAAATTCAACAAGTGACTTGATGATCCCTATTATTTTGTATTGCTAATCTTACAGTTTTAAAAATACCAAATTCAAGCTTTATTTTTCAAAAGATTACTGAGCTATTTTAACAATTTTTTGGTAACCAATTGTTTAGAATGCAACACTTGTGTATTGTGTATTTAAGAAAATCTCTAATCCCCAGCATTACTGATCCACTTGAGCAGCCAAAAATGTTATCAATTCAATGGATTTGTAAATTTTGCATTAGCTCAAAATGTTTAGTTGAACGCATAAAGTGCCCATCCTTTATATTTTTGGAATACCCCATCCATTTGTCTCAGTTGATTGGATTGATAGCTTGGAATGTTTTCTATCATTTGCTTCTTTGCTTCGTGCTGTAGATCTTCTCTATAAGGATTACCAGAGCAACTAGAAGTTCAGTGTCACTACTTACTCTTCTACGGGTGTTGTAAGTGTATTTTATTTTCTATATTTAATTTTTTTTTTTCCCGTTGCTTTTAAATTTGTATATTTGCTTTTTCGCTTGGTGAGGCTAGAGTTATCTCTTTATTTATTGTTTTGTGTGTATGGTGTAATTTGTTGAGTATTTTTATATCTAACTCAATGTGCTTTGTTCAAAAAGTAAAAGAAACCAGTTCAATAGATTTAACACACATGTTTTTTATGGCCTTATATATACATATATGTGTGTGTGTGTGAGTATTTGTATTAGTTCACATCTAGATAATGAAGTACTAGGAAATGGGGCTTTTGTTTTTGATTTCTTAGGTTTTGGTTTCGTCTAACATTGTGATATATAGTTGAAGTTATGGACAAAACTCTATGATTTTGTTTTGTATTCTATACAGATCTGTTCATGTGTTGCCCAAAAATATAAACTTGTTTGAATTAAATCTGGGAAAAAATTATCTTTAGGAAAAAAAATAATTATTATGTTCCTTCATTTTCTGGTTGTTTGGGAGGCTATAACAGATTTTTTTATTTTTATTTTTATATTCCTGGACACAATTGTAGTCATGTTAATTCTTTCAACTATTGGAAGTTTCAAGGCTTTATACATAATTGGATTCTCCAATATGAAATTGACCTAGAGCGGGTACATAGATCACCTTTGCTCAATTTCCAAATTTTACTTTTATACAAGACTACGAGTATACTGATCAGAATTCATACCAAAATTTAGAAGTAAAAAAGCAAACCCAAAGACCGTTTTTTATGTTGCGTAGATGTGTTCTGTCCCACATGGGATGTAAATTAGGTGATCTTGTGATTTTGTAATTAAACAGTCCAATTTTCAATGTCTTGTGATTTCTTAATTTCCTGTTCTATTTGTTTCGGTAAATTTGTCTCCATGTGTTTTGATTAGATTTTAAGTCTACTTCTTTTTTTTTTTTTTTTTTGAATATCTTGTTTCTATATACATGTGGTTTTGTTTAGCTTTGGATTTGAACTAAATAGTGTTGTTTTATCCTCCTTTTGGTTCAGATTTAGTGATTTTTCATTAGAAATTAGTTCACATCTAGATAATGAAGTGCTAGGAAATGAGGCTTTTATTTTTGATCTCTTAGGTTTTGGCTTCGTCTTAACATTGTGATATATAGTTGAATCTGTGGACAGAACTATATGATTCTGTTTTATATTTTATATGGAATTGTTTGTTCATGTTTTGATTGATGTTATTTTTAAGCTTCATTGTTTTCTTCAATTTAATTTGTTTAAATGAAAGGTTCTCTTATAAATATGTTTGAATTTAATCCGGGTAGATATTATATTTAGGAAAAATAATAATTATTATGTTCCTTCATTTTTTGGTTGTTTGGGAGGCTATAACATTTTTTGTCCTGAACATACTTGTACATAATGTGTTCAAAATAAAGTTGTTCCTTACATATATATATGTTTATAACACATTTCGACATATTTGAAATACAAAATAATGTGTTAAAAATTAATAAATGTATTTCCACACAATTTGTACTATTTTGAGAATTATTTTGACCATCTTCAGTCATAAATGATAACTGAAAGAGTTAACTAGATAGCAAGTTATATCATGTGTTACTTTTTCAGTGTACTGGACATAGATTATTTGCGTTTAGATGTGGAGATTAACTGTAAATTTGCTTGTCGGTAATGCATTTGGGCATACACAATATCTAGTATTGGTTTGAATTAACTGCCCTTGTCGGTAAATTTGCTTCCACTTGCTTTGCTGGCAAACTTTATGAATACAAGTAGTTGTGAATCTGTTTTGATTCTGTTAATGTTTTGTATTATTTGTTCCTATTTGATTCTCTATACTTTTAAATTTGACTTGACTTAAATTTAATTAATTATAAATTAATTGATTTTGTGTATAGCTTTTCTGAATTATTGTTTCAAGCTTCGCTAGTTGTGTGTTGCGTCTTTTAATAAAATACTTTCTCAACTTGCAAGGGAGAATATGTAAAAGCCTCTTTCATTTAATCAAAGTGAAAAGCCCTCATTCCATCAGTCTATTCATAGCCTCATCCCTCTACCCTATCCCCCACTTTCCAAGCTATTTTAGTGCCTTTTTAGTCTCTTCCCTTGAAAAGGGCTCACTTCAGATAAAGATAGAAACCATTAAGTCCAAGTGTCAAAAATTCATATCTAATCATTTTATACACCAACTCTCTGGGAAGAATATACCCTCCTGTTGAAGGGGTCCAGTAAAAAACTCTCTTTCTCTCTCTCTCTTGCACACATTTTTCAGAGCATTGTTGACACTAATATTATTTAAACTTTAAGGGTCAAAGTTGCAGACTCTTTGTTAGCCTTTTAAGTCTCAGTCCCAAAATTATAGAGGGCTTGGGAAAACAAAATCAACATAGGGAGAAACAATTTTATGTAAATCACAGCACTCAAATGGCTTGAACTCAACTAACCCTAGCTTTTAGGGTTTTGTGTGCGTATAGCACTAATTCAATTTCAGTCCTGTACCACCAACAGTTGTCATAGCTTTGTCTTCATAAAATACACTTGCTGGTGCATAAAAAATTCTTAAAGCAGCAAGGTAAATCAATTTGCAGCTCACAAACAGAACTGAAAAACTCACAGCAGGCTCAAAACAACAGCATTGAATTAACATTAATATGAAGGGGTAAAACTGGTATTTTGCCTAGACACCTCTGAAAGCTTAGGTCCACGGCTCTGTTTCCTCACCTTACACTTGCTCAGATTAACCACCACACGAACACAGCAATTAATATTCAAGAAATAGCTCACAAACTGTCCTCAGCTACAGTTTCTGCAGAATTGCTTGACTGAAGTGTATTTCTGGAATTTCGTATAATCTCAGGCCTGAATTGAGTTCTCACAAACTAGAACCATCATTACACATATGCTCTGATGTAGAACACACTAACTGAGGCATAACACTTTAATTTTAGTTTTGTGATCTCAGTGTATTAAGCTTAAAACCCTTGCTTATGAGGTTTAAGATGTCAAAACAAGCACTGACCACTTTTTAGGAAATAAACCAACTTCAACAGCTTATAATCATTAACACAATCATGCTCCAAGGGTACACAATCAACTCACACCATGATTTGTATATATATAACTCAGTTCTGTTACTTAAACCAAAAATCAGCAACAATAAAGAAGAATGGGACCTCAAATTTAGCTACAGCACTTATATGCTTAAGAACAGGTTTTTTGCAGCTTTAAATAGATAGAATATACTTGCCTTAACCTGTACAAACCTCTGAACTGTCCTTCATAGATGTTGAGGCTCTGAATCACTCTTTTACACCAAAAAATCAGTAACACAAGCCCTCCTTTCTGTTCAACACATCTACAGCTTCTTTATGAGGATTTCAGTGAATAAAATAGACTTGGATAAACCTGAAATCACCCATTAAACACTCACTATATTCAGCTTCGAGCCCCTTTTGCAATGCAGCCTATTTTAGCTCAATATTCCTCTCTTGGCTCTCTTTTTTGCAGGCTACTATAAGGATGCTTTATACCAACTTTTTGTCACACTGAAAAACCCTAGTATAGCGGATAAGGATGGCTAGATCCACCAATAGCATTAGAGAAAGTATTATCCTGACATTTTCCAGCATATAGAGGGACCTCAATACCCATTGACACATCACACATTCTTGTCTTCTAGTGCACTCACATTTTACAACAAATATGTATATACTGTATACTCTAGCTCAGGATAATGCAAGATTGTTAATTAGCTTTAAGTTTGATAAATTAGATACTTGGGTTCTCTATGCTGGATGACACCAAATTGCTATTTAGGCTGAGATCTTAGCTCTTTTGGAAATTGTCAAGGTTGTTTTGAATGTGGGGCTTTGGCAATGTTTGATATAAAAAGATTCTAATATTGTTTTTATCTTTAATTATAATTAGAAAGAACCATCACTTATAATCTCCAAATTGTATATATGATTCACAACATCAACTTTGAACAGAATCCATTAATAAACTGATCCCAAAATCTGTTCTTTAACAGCAATTAAATGAGTGAAAAGGTAAAGATAGGAAACACACATACACACACACATTATATCATAGGATAAATTTACTTCTCTCTCTAAGCTGTTCTACATATGTGACTTTCAGTCCATTTTGATCCATAACTGTAGCAAAATTGATATTTACACCTGTCAAAACCAATAAATTAAAGAATTACAATAATTTTTGCATTCGTAGTAATTTGTACATAAATTTAACATGGTCTATTTTAATGAACATGTCCAGTTTCAACATAGCAAAAACTAACCTGCAGGTAATGTGTAAACAACCATCAATCTTTTCGACATAGAACTTGCATTTGGGACATCTCCTCCATTTATGTTTCTTGGCAAGCTCCTTCAACACATTGTCTCCGTCCCTTTCTCTCTTACCCTTTTTCAACCTCTGGAACTCCCTGCACTCCATCCCGGCATGCCACGAAACCTTGCATTGCGCAGAACAGCCTCCTGCAATTCGGGCACTCAGATACAGTCACAACATCCCTGCCATCATCAACCAACATAGCTGAACAATCCTTGAAAGGACAGTAAAATTTTTGTGCCACGAGAATCATAGACTCGCACAGCGCATTTTCCCATCTATCAAACACTTCTCCCGTAACAATGGAACGACAAACCTGAGGGTCTAAAACCCCTTTGCAATTCAAGTGTGAACACTTGACCATACTAATATTTTCCTTTATCTTTGAAGCTATATATTTGCGTATGCAGTCTGCACAAAATATATGTACACAAGTGTTGTTTCTGAACATCTCTCCTGCTGGTTTTGTATCCATGCAAATCAAACAGAAGCTTTGAGAATATTTACCAGTTTCACTTCTCTTTGATACCTTTTCCTTCTCCTTTTCCATCCAATTATTTTCCATTTCTAATTTCTCCCATTTCCTGGTTGAAATGATAGCTGAGGACATGAGAGCCTCTTCAAGCTGCAATTCCTCTGCATATGTTTCGTCCGAAATTGGGAAGATTTCTTCTTGTTGATAGACAGCTGAGGAGAAGTGGAAATCATCAAATTCGTCCTCTATCATGTCATAATGTAATTCTTCTATATATAATTCATCCAAAATGGTGAAGAATTCTTGTTGGTGGTCATAGTCAGCTAAGTAAGGATCGTCAACGTAGGATATTAAAGCTTGATGATCCATCATCCATTTTTTTTCTTTTTTCTTTTTTTCTTGTTTTCTGGACTTATAGATTAAAAATCTGTAACAATGTCCTATGAGCTTTGCTAACCACATCACTTATCCAATTAGTCTAGGAAACAATTCTCATTTGTGATTTGTCTAAGAATCAAGAATTAGTTATCATTTGTGACTTATCTAGGTATAGAAACCTACCACCACATAACTTCTTTTACCTTTTAGAGATAATTATACTGACCTCCCCCCTTATTTGTCAAATAAGACTGACCTCCCTCAAAGTTTATATACTGATAATACAAACCTCCCTTGCTGTTAAACAACTAACAGTTTATGCTTACGTCCGTTAGAAAAAACCAGTACAAAAACAATTTTACCCTTCTAATACCTGAAATGAAATTTTTAACCTCAATAATCACTTCAAATTTACAATACTATCCTTGACTTATAAACTCAAAAGGACAATGGTGCCCTCACATCAATAAACCCAGAACACCCAATGGGTCTAAACTGCAACCACGAAATTTATCGGTGAGACCAACGGCGGCTGGTTTACTGGCGAGAAAATTAGAGCAAGGAAAGATGGGTTTGAGTTGGCGAGTCAAAGTTCATGTTCATGTCAAAGTGAAACCAATGGTTTTACTTGCCTAATAACTGTATGGAAGACTTAACAAAAGGTTTTTTCTTTTGCAGTTGTTGTAGTTGAAAATTGCTATTACTAAATGATTTCTGACTTGGAAAATGTGGAGGGAATTATATTGAAAAATATTGATTCACTTTCAGAGATAATGCTTTAAATTTTGATGCTCTAAAGTCTTCTTCTCATCTTGTTGTATAGATATGAAAAATGTCGTCCTATGTCCATTTATCTTTAGGTCCTGCTATTTGTAATTCTCTTTTTTATAACATTTAAGTAATTGAATATGGTATTCTTTATTTTCTCAAATAATGGTATGCTTACCTATTTGATTTATTTAGGTCTTTTTTCTCTTAACTTTGTTTACTAGTGGGTATAGATGTAGTCTGCAGTTTGGCAGAACCTTGCATATTATATTTAGTAAAGACACAACCCATGAATCAAATAAACAGTGACTTAGGCCTTTAATTTTTTTGCCATGATTGACCTCTTTGTGTTTGTGTAACTCTGTTTTTGTGTTAGTGATGTTGTTACTGGAGGAATTTTTACCATTGCATAGCAAACTTATCACTTTTTTCAATTATTTGAACTAAAATTCTCATCATCCTTAAAGTTAAGAGTGCTTCAGTTTTGCCTTAAATAAAATTGGTTTTCCTGATGAAAGCAATATAAATTATTACTTATCTAGGTTGCATCAATTTCTCTATTAAATTACTTCATTGACATTTCAAAATACAGGATAATATGGTTGCCCAATCAAAGGAATTTATTAATGTGGATGCTAGTAGTCCAATTCCAGTGGATGAGCAGATATTAGAGAATTGTCTTGGAAAAGGAAAAGGTACTTATTTCCGCGGGTTTGGTCATGGAAAGAAGGCTCCACGAGGACGTAAAAGGAATGCCAATATTGCAGAATTGGTGGCAGAATTAGAAGCTGAGAGGAGGAGGGCTGATAGAGCTGAAGATTCCATAAATGATTTGAAGGCAACTGTGGCTAGTCTTACAGAGAATCAAAACAGAATGTCTTCTCAACTTATGTTCACACAATTTGGCACGCATCGACCTTCGTTTGGTAGCCCACAGCAGCAGCAACAGCCTTCAACTTATGGACCATTTGGCTGTCTATTGAATAGTCCTCAGCCACCAATGTTTGGGGCATTTGGTCATCCGTACCAACCATTTCAATCCGAGCCTGCAATACATGATCAATGATTTCAGACATTAAAGTTTAGAAACTAAGTTTTTGATAGCATTTCCTAATAGCTAGGCACACAAATAGGTGGCATCTGCTGCACCTCTTCCAAAGGCAGTATAAGAAAGTCAAGTGTAAGGCTAAGAAAGTTTTTGATTAGAAACTAATTTTTTGGGATTACATATGATGTTTTTTTGGTACAGTTTTTAGAATTGCTAGAAGTGTAATTTAAACAACCTATATATATTTTAATTATATATTGACATTAACTTTAGTTTGTGTAGAAGCCGATTATGAATATATATAGCAGGCAGATTATGAATATATATAGCAGGCAGATTATGAATGCAGATTATGAATATATATAGCAGGCAGATTATGAATGCAGATTATGTATATATATAGCAGGCAGATTATGAATGCAGATTATGAATGGATGAAGATATGAATCAAATCACTGATCAAAGGTAGAGGAGTTTCAGGTTGTCAACAGCGGATGGGAAATAAGAACAGATGTGAAAGAGTCTGAGGCGCCAAAAAAAAAAAAAAAAAATACATCAATTTAATTCCGTCCCTAATGCTCAATTGGGACAGAATAAAACTTTGTCCCTAATGGTCAATTGGGACAGAATAAAGCTCTGTCCTTAATGCTCAATTGGAATAGAATTTAAGTCCGTCCCTAATGCTTAATTGGGACAGAATAAAACTCTGTCCCTAATGATCAATTGGGACAGAATTTAAGTCCGTCCCTAATGCTCAATTGGGACGGAATTTAATTCCGTCCCTAATGCTCAATTGAGACGGATAAACAAATTCAGTCCCTAATGCTCAATTGGGACGGAGTTTTATTCCGTCCCAATTAGTCCGTCCCTAAAACCCTTTTAGGACGCTGCATATAGAGACAGTTGTATCATCCGTCCCAAAAAGGTATTGGGGACAGTTTGGGCACCTATAGGGACAGTTTTTTTTGTCCCTAATAGCACCATTTCTTGTAGTGTATTTAACCTTTTAAAGCCAGTGAGGTCGATGTTGCCAGATAAACACCTTTTTCTTTTGACGAGTCAATGGGTTGTTAAGATTGAGATCACGGGTCTTGTATGCACAATGATCAGGGCAGTGTCATTTGGGAAGGAAGAGATTGAATGGGTGGTAAAGTATCATTTTATGGCTTAGAGGTTGTCATTTGGGAGTGACTGATTCTAGGTAGAACGGGATGCGGTGTCCAACGTACTGTCATCGTCCCTAGTGTTAATACGCTGTGAGCATTGGTGCTCTTATTTGATGGTCGTGTTGTGAGTTGTATCCTTGTACTTGACGAATGGGTGGTATAGATCTGATTAGTTTTGACTAGCATGGGTAGCGTATGCAAGGTTTCGGTGTTGATAGTGTATGACGGTCCATTAGTGGCGAGATTGCCTATATTTGAGTTCGTAGCTCCGTGCGGGTATCCAGTTAGTTCACCTCCTTGTGTGCAAGGAGTTCATTTCATCTCAGGTCAGATTGGGTGTCCACGGTTGGACGATTGGTGAGTAGCTTATGACAGGGTATCGGGTGCATTCAGGTGTGAGTCGTTAGTCTCTTATGAGAGCGGGGTTCGTTACCCTTTTCATTTGTTCTAGTCCTGACAAGGACGTCGTTTGTCGTAAGTCTTGTTCTCCATTTAGGAGTTGTGCCCGTTCACAGATAAACGGACCTATGTGTGGCTTGCTACGTTGTTAGAGTTCACCGGTAAAGGCTTGGTTGTATGGGTTGACTTACTCCCACGGAGGGAAGTGGGGTCTTTGGTTTGGTGGTGCTTGTTTGAGAGTGGTTTCGACCGATGGTATATGAGGCATGAGTTGCTGAATATGGATTGTGTGTTTCCGGTGTCTGGTACTAACGGTGATGGATAAAGGTGCGTCGTGAACTATAAGCTTGAGGATGATTAAGTGATATAAAATGAGTCATGATGTGTTTATAGATGTTTGATTTAAGCAATGTCTTGAGGATAAGTGTCGATGTCGCCTTAGAATTACGTTATTAGAGAATGTGAATGTGGGATTCCGTTGAGGAATAATGGTAAAGATTGACTTTGGTTTTGAGATCTCAAGCATGAGATAGTCGCATTGTGTGTGTTGACGAGGTAAGAATTGAATCAAGTGATGTTGTGAAGTTGTTTACCTGGTATGGGTGTTATGAGAAGATTAAAGAGCTTTTATGTTGGTTGATGATTGTGACGTTTGTTGCCGTGTTATTTTTAACTTGTTATGGGTTGGGTGATTAAAGTATAATTGGGATTCTTAGAGTAGGTATATGACTGTATAGTTGTTGAAGTTATGTAGAGCGATGGATTGATAGTGAGTGGATCTCATGGTTGTTTCGTGGACTTTGTGATATTATGTTTGAGGTTTAAACTTGAGGACAGGAACAATGTCTGTGTTGAGACCGAATTAACGATGAGAATGGCCTGGCCAACCATTTCTCCTAAATCAGTCCCTCTTTAGCATGATGTTGGGTCAAAGGTCAATGATTTTTTCGATTTGTCAGGGACAGTGAGAGTACGGTATTGCGCGTTGTGTCGGTGTGACCGTATGGATTCGTGTGGTCTGTCTCGGGTGACAAGGTGTGTTAGGTAGGACCAAGTGTCCGATAAAGGGTTTGCGATACGATCATTGATTATTGAAGAACTTGTTTTGAGGATTTGTGTCCTGGGTACATGATAGTGTGCTTTATTGATTTGGTGACTCATGTTTATGTAGTTGTTCGGAGATATGTTGTTTAGTCATCTTGAAGTTGTTTAGTATGATGATTGTCGAATGGTGCGGTTGGTAGTTGCTCGTACCGATATGTGACGGTGTAGCTATATGTTAAATAGCGAGTGTTTGGTCTGACGGGGATGTGTAGATTTGGGTTTGAGCTTGATTGTGAGATGGATGGGGTTTCTGTCTGAGGTTTTGTGTGTCCTTTAAAGGATGAGTGGAGATCAGATGTTGTCATGTTCAAGGGTCTTGTGACTTTTCTTCTTTCGGGCTCTGAAGCCTTGCGTAACAGTGTAGAGTAGATCAGTGTCCGTTTTGAGTCAGGTACAGTGTAAAGCGTACCGTTGGTTTTGTGTTGTGATGTTGTTAGTAATGGGTACCCTCATAGGGTGGTGAGCATTGGGTTTTAGTGGCAGTGGTGTGTGATTGCCTATTGGCA